GACGAATCAGACGAGGATTCTGATATGTTCGTCGAGAGTGAAGATTCCAACGACGAGAGTGACGCTGGGGAGAATGATGCAGACAATCAAGGCGATGACGAAGACGATGATTCCGAGTGACCTATCTAGGTTTAAATAAAATTAGGATATTAATTAATAATTTTTACTATGTTGTAGGTTGTTTGATTTTTTTTTTTGCGGTTTTTTTTTCTACTTATTTAAATATTAGGGTTAATGTAATTTTTATTTTACTTAATGAAATGCTTTTTATTTTTAATTAAATTTTATGTTTGATATTAATTTAAAAATTATAAATCAAAAAAAAATTATTTTATTTAATATATAAAAAAAAAAAAAAAAAAGTGAGGGAAGGCCTTCCCTCACATTCCTTGGCTTTTAGGTGAGGGAAAGGAAAGTGATAGAAAGAGGGGTATGGCCCACCAAAAATGAGGAAGCTTCCCTCCCATTCCTTCCGGTCTAAAATGCTTTACTTCAAACTAAATAAAAAACTCAAATATTTCTAGTTTGTAACACTCTTGTGAGGTTTCTTCAAGAACTGGAGTCATTACGCAACTCTATCTGTAATCTAGGAACGGTTAATTTTGATCTATATCTAGGTATATATACAGAAGTGTTTCATGGTGAAGTCTTGTTCTATTTTTGAGGTAAGAATTTAAATCTTGAAGATTTATTTTGTATTTGTTCCTAGAAATCAAGTGAATGGGTAAAATGTTGTTTGGAGCCATCTCACAAACAATCTTCACTGTTCGGAGACATGCACCGGAATTAATTCGTCCAGCACAACCCACTCCTCGAGAACTGAAGCCTCTCTCCGATATTGACGATCAGGAAGGACTTCGTTTTCACATCCCGCTGATTTATATTTATCGTCAGGACCCAAAAATGAGAAACAAGAATCCGGCGACTGTGATCAGGGAAGCTTTGGCCAAAGTGCTGGTGTTCTACTACCCCTTTGCTGGCAGGCTAAAAGAAGGTCCGGCAAGGAAGCTGATGGTTGATTGCTCCGGTGATGGTGTGTTGTTTATTGAGGCTGAGGCGGATGTTACTTTGAAGCAATTGGGAGACGCGCTTATGCCTCCTTTTCCTTGTATGAATGAGCTCCTTTATGATGTTCCTGGGTCTGATGGCATCGTCGACTCACCATTGCTGCTGATTCAGGTGATATTTTATATGTCGTTTTTGGTAGAAAGAATCGTTTTAATAATGTCAACTAAGAGATAATGAGTGGATTCCTAAAAAATAAATATTTTCACCGTTGTATTTGAAGTTTGAACCAAGAATCAACCAGAAAGAAATTGCGATAATACAGAATTTTCACAAAAAATCATCAACCTATCCCTAATTTACCACCACATGTTTCACCTGAGACTTGAACACCTCTCGATTGAGAGGGTCAATTCACTAAGCCAAATACCTTTTCATATCAACTTCACTTGTCCCAATCTATATTTTGTAATTATAGTATTCACATAAATTCAATTCTACTACTTCAAAAGATGGTCCTCACCTACCTAGTTACTAAAAAAATGTCTTTGACATAACGATAAGGAGTGACTCTCTTAAATGAGAGGTCATGGATTCAAGTCTTATTAGGAGACATATGTGGTATTTAGGAGTAGATTAGTATGTCGGTTAAAAAAAATAAAATAGTTAGTACTAAAGCCGGAGGGAGTGGCTCGCTGCCCAACCTTGCCCTCCAGCTCACTAGCCTCGTCTCCATCATTCCCTTTGAAGTCGCTAGGTCCCTCGCCAAAGATGGCTCGCATGCCCGTCAAGGAGAAGAAAGAGAAAAAGAAAGTGGAAAGGAAAATCAATCATTGGCTCGCTTCATTTTCTTCTTTTTTTAATTCTTTTTTAATATAAAAATAACTCAACAACCTCATGTTACCATTCTTTACCTAGATGCTATCATTCTATACATTTTGTGTGCTTAAAATTTTTTTTATGTAACTTCAAAAAATCATGTGACAGCATGCTAATGATGCTATCACTCTCTCCGGCATAACACATAATGACTTCATATTTTTTCGAACATACAATATATTAATTATATGATATATATATATATATATATATATATATATATATATATATATATATATATATATATAATCATTATATTAATTTGATTGGTAGGTGACACGACTATTATGTGGGGGATTTGTCTTTGCACTACGACTCAACCACACTATGAGCGATGCACCGGGACTCGTCCAATTCTTGACTGCCCTAGGGGAAATGGCACAGAGAGCATCAACACCCTCAACATTACCCGTGTGGCAAAGGGAGTTGCTTTTTGCAAGGGAGCCACCACGTGTAACATATGCTCATCGCGAGTACGATAACATTGAAGACGCCAAGGGTACAATCATCCGGCAGGATGACATGACACATAAGTCATTTTTCTTTGGCCCTACCGAGCTTTCAGCCTTACGAAGGCTTGTTCCAGTAGAACTACAAAGCTGTACCACCTTTGAACTGCTAACAGCTTGCGTCTGGCGCTGTCGTACCATTGCTCTCCAGCCTGATCCGGAAGACGAGATGCGCATCATATGCCTCATGAATGCACGTTACAGGTTTAAACCACCCACCATCCCTATAGGATATTATGGAAATGCTTTCGTCATGCCATGTGCCATTTCCACAGCTCGAGAACTATGTAAAAAACCATTAGCTCACGCCTTGGAGCTGGTGAGGAAGGTCAAATCTGATGTCACCGAAGAGTACGTGAGATCTAATGCGGATCTAATGGTTATCAAAGGACGACCCCTGTTCACAGCTGTTGGAAGCTTTATCGTATCAGATGTGACTCGTTCTGGATTAAATGACGTTGATTTTGGGTGGGGGAAGGCGGTCTATGGAGGGGTTGCCAAGGGGGGAGCAGGTTCTTTCCCCGCTGTTAGTTTCTTTATAGCTTTTACAAACCATAAGGGTGAGTCTGGAATCGTGGTACCCATATGTTTGCCAAGTGTCGCAATGGAGAAATTTATCGAAGAACTAAATAGCATGTTGGTGCAAGACAACAACAATCATGTGCTTCAAGAACACAAGTTACTTGCTATTTCAAAACTATAATTTCTATGCTTTGTCAATATATGGTTAATTACCAAAATTAATACGCTTTTAAGAGAGAGTTCTTTTTATTACAAAATGTTCTTAATAATATGTTTATTTGTATGGTGAAGTGGGTGTATGTCCCAGTACTATTGTTGTAATTTGTGGTCTTGTTTTCTGGACGATTAATCAAAGATAATAATATCAAACTAGATAAAGCGTCCATACCATCCTTAGCTATCAATACTTTATTTATTATTGAAGGGTGGGTTAGTATATGTCTGGGATATAACACATGAGCTCCTTGTTAGTAACTCGTGTTAGACACCTTATTAGTAAATTGGGTTAGCCCCACCTTGTACCTATCAATACATTTTTTTTGAAACGGCAAATGATTAAACGGAAGCCTACTCGCATATTTCAACGAGCACCCCGGGTTCGAGCTCCTTTACAGGGCAAATTCAGCCCCCATAAGGGTTTCCAGGAAAAATTTCCCCACATGTGGCACAAGTTTAAGAGGCACCCAAATTGGGTTTTGCAGGGATTTAACTCCCGACCTCTGACCCCACGTGGGTATTAAACCCGGTACCTCTTCCCAGCTAGGCTGGAAATCATTGGTACCTATCAATACTTGCATCTCAACTTTTCTGGTTTAGCCATTTATTATAATTTGTTCTAAAAACTCTATCAGTTTTTGGATAAAAGCTCTATGGTGACCAATGGCGGATCCATGATGGAAGTTAACCGGGTTTGTTATACATCAAAAAAACATATAAAGGCATAAAACTCTAAATTTTTTTGGAAATTTGCCGGTTTCTAAACCAAAAAAAAAAAATGCTAGACTAGGGCTTTTTCTGCAACAATGGGTCCCAAAGAGGGAAGTTATAGTAAAAGATGGATTATTAAAGGTTTTTTTTTAATAATATACTGACTTCCAAGTGGAGTACATGGACCCCACTCCTAACATGCTACCTCCTCTATTGAAGGTAACCATTATGTCATGTAAATGTAATATGTCTATTTTTGAAAAAAAAAAAAAACACCGCAATCACTACCCGCTTTTTGTTAATATATCAAAATTTATAATACTTTTTCAGATATATCGTTATATGTCGATGCTAAACAGTAAGTTCGTTTTTTTTTTCTTTTGTTGAAAAACCATTCGGTTTGGGTTTTTATGATTTAGTTTCAGTTTTTTTTGGTAGAAAATCCATTTGATTTTGGTTTCTACGATTTAGTTTTAGTAAAACATTAATATTTTTAAAATTGTATTATAGAAATAGTGTATGTGTTTGTATGAAAGTTGTATTTTCAGACTAAACTATAGAAATCAAATTTTGCAGTTTGTTTTTTCAACACAAAAAACCAAAACCCGAAATCGAATGATTTATCAACCCAAAATATGAAGCTAAATCATAGTAACCAACATCAAATAAATTTTCAACCTATAACAACTTAGATTAAATCATAAGAACCGAACTGAATGGTTTTTTTTAAACCAAAATTTGCATTTTTTGGCATCGACATCTATCGATAATCAAGATAATATCATAAAACGTCCATATCATCCCCACCAAGCAATATACTTGCATCATTTATCTTTTTCATTACAATCATGATTCAAAATATGGTTATTTTAAACACACCGGTAATCTGATAGAATGAAATCCATGAAACTTTTGAGTGAATATTTGAAATTTTAACCCTTTTTAAAAGGAGAATGTTATAAAAAGCTTTAAACTTTGGCAAAATAATATATCGGTTTCACCCGAAAATTAAATTTGGGTTCAATAGTGTCATATATTTATGGCTTTTATAAGGTTTACCCGATCACACCCTTACTAAAAAAAGGTAGGTCTTTTAGGAATGAAATGGGACAACGGGTCCCGAACCCCAGACTTTGCAAGCACAACGCAACAAGCTAACCATCAAGTTAGGACAACTTTTGTGTTCTTATATCTGAACCTTTAACTATAATGCATAATTCGATTGTTTTGACTATTATTATTATTATTATTATTATCTTTTTAATAATATATACATACATTTTTAAATACGTTTTTAAAAAAATATATAAACAT